GGAGGCCAGAAGAGTAATTGATGCATACTCATGGGGGAGAGGCTTGACACAGGGCTGTGGGGGGCTATCCTCCTGCCAAGAGGAGGGGAAGGCATGCAGCTGCTGCGAACCCTCTGAAGGGCTCTCAGCAGCTGGTTCACGTGTCTCCTCAAGCCGTCCTTTCAGCATAAGGACTCAGAGGGCCACCATGTCCATATGTTGAGAGGACGGAGAAAAAGAGGAGAGCAAAAGGTAAGCTCCCAAGGGGCTGCATCCGGCCCGCGGGCCTGATTTTGCTCATACGCTAAGTCCACTTCGTGAATATGAAAACTCCTTCAGACTGTGCATAGTGCATCCACACTATGAAAAATGGATTCCTTGGATATAGGTAAATGGAATATGACATCTCTATTTACAACTTTGTCAAAGTGCAATTAATTTGTTCATCAACAATTTTAAGCTCATATTTTAGTAATCCCAAGCTGACCAAATTAAGATGTATTTACAATACCTCACAGACTTCTTAGGAGTATGTTACTAATTCTACCCATGTATGTACCATGTTCTCTGCAACTGTTTTTTAAAAATCCTCCTCTGAAGTGGTCATGGTCATGAACAGCAGGCAGGCTTTAGGTTGTGGCCTGTCGTATGTTTTTCTTCAGATGATGAAACAGTGGCAGTTGCAAGAATCAAGGTCTTTATCTGCTTCAAGTGAGGTCAAAAACCAATAGAGGAGGCCATTAAATTAAACACAGAGCCCGGACTGTAGCTCTTTGAATCCCTGCTGGCTGAGGATTCTGGTACCTTTAGTCGAAAGAAAGAAAGAAACCCACAGAAGTCTTATTCATCCAACTGCCTATGCAATTTGTTCTTGCTTCTTAAGGAAGTGGCTTACAAAGCCCAGTGGACAGTAATGAGCTTTGCATTTAAAAGGGCCTAAGTTCAATTTGTTGTACTTCTGGATGGTACTGGGAAAAAATTATATTTGCAGGCTTTGAGTGGGAAGCAGGTAGATCCACACCTATTGATAGTCCTATGGCCTGTTGGCAGAAGATGAGCATGAATATCTGTCTCCAGACTGTTTAGCCACAGCAGTGACAAAATGCTTCCAGTGTCTTACACTCCAAACATCCCAATTTGGTGGTGAGGTTTCTAGTTAATCCTGTGTATCATACCACATTTTCAAAATGTCACCTACTCTCTCCTCTTTCCACTTTCTCCATTTGTCAAAATCCTGAGCTCAAAATTCTTTAATTCTAAAATATATATATATTAGCACCAAGCTGTGGCTTACTGATATTTAAAATCAAAATACAAAACCAATCACAGTTGAACTTGAATGTTTAAAGTCTAACACTCTCAATGTAGATGTCCTAATGGTCTGATGCAATATAAGACAGCTTCGTGCACCTGCATCTCCATGAGTTATGTTGGATTGAGTTGTCAAGACACCCATCTGGCACAATGTTTCAAAGCTGCCAGCTGTGTTTTCAATGCTGACACACTTTTTGGCTGAGAAAATCTAGCTTCTTTGCCATGGCAGATGGCAGCCAAGCAAAAGGGACCTCATTTTTTATAAATGTGCAGGTTGACAATGCCAGTAGTCAAACCTCCCTCTTTCTCTTTCATGAACCACTGATAGGTTGCACACCTATCCAACAGGTCTGGCCACATAGAGACTTTTCTAATGATGCTCATTTTCTGTAATACGAAATGCAAATTGAGCTGTTTAAGTTTCTTTCCAGGTTGTTTCAACATATGTTTTGCTGTCATTTCTATGAATGGTACACTTATGTGGTGAATTGGCGGGGCAGCAGCCAATCCTGGTGCCCTGCCTCCCCGCAACGCTTCCCCATCACACATAATCTTCCAGTGTTCTGAGCACAGCATTGTAGGATGCTTGCACCCCAGATGATCATTGGAAGTGAACATGTTATGGGCGTTGTGCGACTCCATGGACCAACTGGGACACAAGCATCCTACGACCCTTGAAGCCCCCTTTGTGAGGCAGTCCTTAGAGCCCAAGAGCTAGTGGTATTTTTACACACAAGGCTTCATGCAGATTTTGTTTGCTTGTTTTTCTTTGTGGGCAAATGTCAGGTCTACATTGGGCAGAATACTATGCACTTCAGTTATTCATGTTTTCAATTTGACAGCCACAACATCCGATAGGGTAGGATAAGCTCAAAACCTATTTTAAAGATGAGCTCAGAGCTCTTGTTGACAACTGTGAGCTGCTTTACCATGAATTCTCATTGTCCCCTTGTTTCTGTGTTGTAATGCAAGGGTGCTAACATACCTGTTCCCAACTGTTTTTGAACTTAAGCAGGGTCAGATCTTGGGTGGGAGAAAAACGGGGATTTCAAAGTAGGATAAAAAGAGAAGCCTCCCTGGTATCTTGGAGAATTGTGGCTATTAGAGGAATTAATGGCTTAGCATAGTGTAAGTTTAGATACAACAATGGCTTGGTTCAACTATGTTCCTGTTTGGGGTGAGGAATCTGGTGTCTCCTTACCCCCCTTGCCATAGGCAGATTAATGTCAGAGGCATGGATCATTGGCTCCCTGTTCAACGCACCTTTTGGAGATTCTCTCCCAATCCTTGGTGAAGAAAGTTAGAATGGAAGAATTCAGATTTGTTCTCTTGAAGGACCAGTAGATTCTGTTTCATTCAGTTTTGCCTTCTTCATATAGAGCAGATGAGAAGGTAGTTGAAGATCTGGTCTCCTATCAGAGGGGACACGTTTAAAGGCAGGGCAGAGAGGGGAAGACTGCAAAATCATTACAGACCTGGTTAGGTGTTCTCTCATGGGATCGGATTCTGTGGGAACTAAAAGCTATTGCTAGGATATTGCAGGCTTGGTGCTTGCTTTTGATATTTTCTCTGTGCAGGAAATTGGCTCAGACAGTGATGAGGGACCTACAGACCTATGATGATCTTAAGACAAGATTATCATGGGGGTCTCTTGGCAAAGTTTGTTCAGAAGACATTTGCCTTTGTTTTCCTCTGAGACTGAGAGAGTGATACTTGCCCTAGATCACCCAGTGGGTTTCCTTGGTGAAGGAGGGATTCAAACGCTGGTTTCCCAAGTCACAGTTCACTTACACCATGCTGGTTCTCACAGAAGAAGATACTTTAAAAAAATAAGTAAACCAATATAAGTCATTTACCAAGATAAACTCTTTAAATACATTTCCACCTCAAAAGTGAATCATGTTTCCTGGAAAGGAGTTTATCTCATCCTGTCCAGAGACAAAATTACAGGCTTACAAAGTGTGAACTTTGCCTTTTGAAGGGAACACACACTGGTGTTTCTAGTTTCCGTTTCACAATGTCCTGATTGTGGGTACACCGTCACACATGCCGAGTGGCTCTCATTGCTCCTGCCTGAGATGGAAGTCAAGGACGTGACACTTTGCTCCCAGCCTTGAGCATTCATTTGGAAAGAAAGTTGTCAGGCTTATTCAGGAGCTATATAGGAAAACAAAACGGAAACAGGAATGTTTTAGGAATGAAATCAGAACAAGGTCATAGTATTAGCTGAGCTGGAGCTTCTTCCAAGATGACTCAGAAACTAGGAACCATTCTTTCAGATCATTTAGGCCAAACTAGATGTAAAATGCAATGTGTATATCCTCAGAGTAACCCACAATGGAATTTCCTTTGAGATATACTGTATACCATATAAATAAGACTTGCAAATGTAGCTCATATTTACTACCTAATTTGTTGTTGTGTGCTTTTGAGCTGTTTCCCTATCACTCAATCTCAGAATTGTATTGTCAAGATTTGTTCATGGGTACTTTGTGATGGCCTTCCTGTGCAGCTGAAAGAGTGTGATTTGCCCAATGGTTTTCCATAGCCAGCCTTCAAATGAGAATCCTCAATGTGGTTCAATCCCATTCCTTGTCTCCATTTCAATATATATTGGAATCCTGGAGTCCAAATTTCAGTAGTTAACAGCCTATAGATTTAAAATATTCTTATCTGTTGTTTTCTTTCAAGTCATTTCCAACTTATGGGAAACCTGAGGCAAACTTATTTTTTGAAAAATTTATACAGGGGGTGACTGGCTTTGTGTATTAATTCACTTTTTCCAGGCTGTGCTTCTCCTATATTAATTCTTCAATAGGAAACTTGAGGCATCACCAACCCCTGAGCTCAGATGCATCTGCTAATTTCATTTCCAAAAAGAAAGGAAGCTGGCACTAGAAAACTCTCCTGTGTGAGAGAATAATTTACCTTTCCAAAAAAAAAAAAAAAAGCTAGAGGGGGAGGGCTGGAGGAGAAGAGGAATTAAGAGAAAGGCTTTAAAATATTCTCAAATAATGCAGAACTCAGAGTAAACAGGACATTTGAAGTATTTCATTTTGTAGTTTATCTCTCTGCACATGTGTGTGTGCACTTTTGCCATGGCAAGTGCCAGCATTTAAACCCCAAGAATATTCCATTCCCTCTTTGAGTAATTCTACTCAAAGACACTATAATGCAGCTTGAAGGTGGCTCAAGGGCTGGGTGTCCACAAAATGTTCACCTCCAATCTGTGCTGCAATATGCATTAAGTCACCAGAAAGTCTGGATTAAATCAAAAAATGCACTGAAGCTGATTAGAACATACCCCAAGCAGGACTCAAAACCAGGATGGGAAAATGCAGAGTACATGTCAGGACACTGCTATGCTGAAGCACTTTTAGAAACTCTGACACATAGCTGGCTAGAAAGCAAATACCTACTCCCCCAGAAGAGAAGCCACATTATTCCCATGAAGATTCTCGTTTTTTGACTCTTTCTTTTCATTTCCTGTGCCCTGCTATGGTCCAGCATTGATCCCAAATGGACATGGTTATGCATAGCAGAGCATCTCAGCGGACTAGGCAAGAAAGAAAAAAACCAACAGCCCGTGGTTCGCTTCTGATCCACAATCAGTGTATATTGTGGCCACTGTCCCAACCCTGAACCGATTCCTGGGATGTTAATGTATGTGCTTTGCAGTTTAATTCCCTTCCTAAATGGAATTTAGTGCCTGTATAAAACTTCTCTCTGTCTCTGCTTCTGAACTGGTGTGATATGACTGAGGGTTGAGGGCAGACAGACACCTGCATCATATGTGTATATGTGTGACTTCAAGTCGCCTGCTGACCTATGGAAACACAATTAATTTCCTGGTGTTTTAGGTTTGGAAAACTCAGGTCCCTTCCACAAAGCTGAATAAAATCCCACATTTTCTGCTTTGAACCAGAATATATGGCAGTGTAGAGTCCGTATAGTGGCCCTTATTTCTCATGCCAGTAAGGTAATGCTCAAGATCCTGCAAGGAAGACTCCAGCAATACATGGAGCGAGAGTTGCCAGATGTTCAAGCTGGGTTTAGAAAAGGCAGAGGAACGAGAGACCAGATTGCCAATATCCGCTGGATAATGGAGAAAGGCAGGGAGTTTCAGAAAAACATCTATTTTTGCGTCATTGACTATTCTAAAGCCTTTGACTGTGTGGATCATAATAAATTGTGGCAAGTTCTTGGTGGGATGGGCATCCCAAGCCACCTTGTCTCTCTCCTGAGGAATCTGTACAAGGACCAAGTAGCAACAGTCAGAACTGACCACGTACGGCAAGGCTGCATCCTCTCACCCAACCTTTTTAACTTGTATGCAGAACACATCATGCGATGTGCGGGCTTGATGAATGCAAAGCTGGGGTGAAAATTGCTGGAAGAAACATTAACAACCTCAGATATGCAGATGACACCACTCTGATGGCCGAAAGCGAGGAGGAGCTGAGGAGCCTTCTAATCAAGGTGAAAGAAGAAAGTGCAGAAGCCGGGTTGCAGCTAAACATAAAAAAAAACCAAGATTATGGCAACAAGAATGATTGACAACTGGAAAATAGAGGGAGAAATGGTGGCCGTGACAGACTTTGTATTTCTAGGTGCAAAGATTACTGCAGATGCAGAGTGGCCAGGAAATCAGAAGACGCTTACTTCTTGGGAGGAGAGCAATGTCCAGTCTCGATAAAATAGTAAAGAGTAGAGACATCACACTGGCAACAAAGATCCACCTAGTCAAAGCCATGGTATTCCCTGTAGTAACCTACGGATGTGAGAGCTGGACCTTAGGGAAGGCTGAGCGAAGGAAGATCGATGCTTTTGAGCTGTGGTGCTGGAGGAAAGTGCTGAGAGTGCCTTGGACTGCGAGAAGATCCAACCAGTCCATCCTCCAGGAAATAAAGCCCGACTGCTCATTGGAGGGAAGGATACTAGAGACAAAGTTGAAGTACTTTGGCCACATCATGAGGAGACAGCAAAGCCTAGAGAAGACAATGCTGGGGAAAGTGGAAGGAAAAAGGAAGAGGGGCTGACCAAGGGCAAGATGGATGGATGGCATCCTTGAAGTGACTGGCCTGACCTTGAAGGAGCTGGGGGTGGTGACGGCCGACAGGGAGCATTTGATTGGCTGGTCCATGAGGTCACGAAGAGTCGGAGACGACTGAACAAATGAACAACAACAACAGAGTCAGATATCCCAGTTCAAAGCAGATATTGTGTGATTTTCTGCCTTCATATTTTGGGTTATATGGCTGTGTGGAAGGACCCTTAGAGGTAGATTTACTAGTTTCTTTCTCGGATATATAGCCTACAGAAACCAACAGTCATTAGTGGCCTGTCATCCAAGTATGAAGAAGACCTGACCATCTTTAGCTTCCAAGATCAGATTGAATTTGATGTTTTTAGGATATTAATGGATATTAACTGCTTAGGGCTTTCCATTTTCCATCCTGATGCTAACTTTCACCGACCACTGAATGGCTGAAGCTGCATATCTTCACACCTAGGTGGCAAGCGTTGCCAGCTATTAAGCAAGCTATTATTGTACTAATGCTCAGTCAAACTTCACTGTTGACTGCTAAGTCAACAGGACATAAAATACTATCCCCCGCCCTTTCAAACTTTGTCTTTTAATCTACCACCGTGTAACATCCGCCAATGAAAACCACCCCTTTATGCCTGGATATTCTGACCATTGCAATAGGGGGAAGGGTGTGTAAAAATGTTTATGGCATGAGCTCATGGAAAGAAAACCACTCGCTAGAATCTAGATTGCAGAGAGAGTGCCAGAGGAATTTCAGAACCCAAGCAGACCGAGGGCAACAGCATCACTGCTTTAAGCAAGTCCTCCCGACTGCTGTATTTGCTGATATTCTGCTCCAAGAGAGAGGGATTATCAGAGAATGTAATAATATAAAATTGACAGCATGCTTCACAGCTGAAACAAGATTGCATCTGTCAAAAACACAGTCCCCTGCATTGCCTGTAATTCTAAAAATAGCATTAAATTGAATGAAGAACTTCATCTGCTCCACCCTGAGCCAAATGCAAACAGGAACTGTGAATCCCAAAGATAGCTTCCCTGCTATGCTTTCTTAATCTTTTGCACTCAAGTGAGACATGACCTCAGACATGGTCAATTTTTATATCATGCTAGGAAAGCCAATCACCTTAATTTTGAGTAGCGCAGCCTAAGTAACATACACACACATACACACACACACATGCATGTCCAGATAATCCATATGTCCCTTTGGCCAACCAACTGATCCTTTTCAGACACGGTATTTATGTTACTTCATCCCAACTGCAAAACTGAGATATTCTTCAGTGCATTTTTCAGACAGAGAAGGATGCTTTATATCATTAGGCCATGTTTGCATTGGCTGTTTCACCCCAAATCATTCCTGAGAATTGTGGTCTGTTGTGACTTCAGAGTGACTGTGATGGCAGCCAGATGCATTGGGCTGAACTCGCTCTGTTACCACATTAATGTCCACTCCAGATAGTCAGGTTGGGTCAAGATTGCTTTGGCACCAGTGGACCATCACCTATAGTCCTCCCCTGCTGGATACAAAGCTTCCTGCAAGTTCTTGGCTGTCATGGTTATGTCAGAGTGCCTGTGCAACACAACCTGGTGCTTCTCCATCTCACATAAAGTTGTGTAGCTGATCATCCAGTTCTTTAAGCTGGAGCTTGTGTCATGGGTGCAAATATATTTTCAGAAGTTCTCAAGTACATATGCTTTGATAGATTGCTGGTTGCTGAATGTTGTCTCCCTGCAGAGAAATCAGCCATAATTATAATTCTTCACAGATGTTTTGGGGAGAAAAACCATGAAGTCTATCAAGTAAATGACCATGCTCTAATACCTCACTCCCTGGTTCAGCTTTAACTCAGTCCTCCATGGCTTTCTATCAGTCATTATATTTCCATTAGAACCGAGTTTCCTGGATTTCACTGGAATTCACATATATTTAGAGAACTTATAATAGGCCTTTGGTATCCAGTGGGCTTTGTTCCAGAGCCCCAGTACATACCAACATTTGTGGATGATCATGTCCCACTATATGCAGTGTCACAGAAAGAGGATGCCCCTTGTATAAAATAGTATAATCAATGTTTATCCTTTAAGCCACATGCATTGGCAGCTGGGAACTCAATATGCTAAAAACACCAGATCTCTTCTGGTCCTAGAAGTTAACCAGGATCAGCCCTAGTTAGTATTTGGATGGTAGAACTGTAGGCATTTTGTCAGAGGAAAGAACTGTCAAAAATATCTGAGTATTCTTTGCCTAAGATCTATTAAAAATTCATGGGATCACAATATGTCAACAGGTAACCTGGACACATGCACACACATACTTAGAGTGCCACTGGGCTTTCTTGGCATGCACACACACATGCACATGGTTGTGTGAGTAAAAGGGCATTTATATTTCTGCTTATGTAGCAGTTCAGTCTTGTAAAATAAGACAGATTCATAGATAATCATACAAGTTGGATTTTGAGTATACATGTTGCCTTGCAACACATTTATCTGCAAGAAGAAAGTCTTTGATCTTGGCAAACTGATATAGCAGGGAGGGAAGCTGTCTTCTTGTAGCTCAATTAGGCTGCCAAAAATACATTTTGGGTGGTGGTGGTTGTGGCGATTGTCCTTCAATTCTGAACATCATTAAGAAGCCCCCCTACCCTCCTTAAAATATTGCACTTTTGTTTGGTGCCCTGAGTATGTGATGAAATGTGGGGGCTGTGGAACAAATACCATGATATTTTCAGGTTCTTTCCTGAACTGCTCTCTCCACATCCAACCTTCTTCTGTGCCTCCCACACAGCAGCCTTTTTCTGCTCTGTTCTTCCTCAGGCAATATCCTCTCTCTGGAATTCAGTAGCAGTGACAGCTGAACCTTTGAAGCCCCAGCCTCTATTCTTGACCATGAGAGAGTATATTGGGTCCAAACAGTCCTCATCAGCCTACTTTATCTGTTTGGTTGTACATCTCCCCTTCCTCTTTTATTCTCAGGCTGCTCTTGTCTGTCTTCTCTTTGAAATGTGACTGAGGTGTTTTCTGGGTTATTTTTACAAGTTTTCCTGGCTTCTTAAGGCTTTCCCATAGCCTTATTATGCATGCTACATGTGAAAAAGAACGTTTTTTTTCCTTGTTAGTTTCAAGAAAGGCTCATATTTACTACTCAAAATAGCACCTCTGCATTAGAGCCAATTCTATTAATTTAGTCTGCTTCGATATGATGATCAGTATGGAAAAGGAACTTGCGCTTATGCTGTTTTTCTTGCTTACTGTTTTAATAGTTGGCAATGGAGATTTTTTTTTATCAAAATGTTTCTTAATATAAAGTTTCACAAGGGAGTTGTAAGCTTCCCCCCAGAAAGAAAAATTGAGAGAAATTCAATTGTCTCGATATAGCTAACTCCAATGGGTTTCTCTTTTCTGTGACCCTGCCCAGAGAACTTTTCTAATTGGACAGTACAATATCCATTGAATTGGAATGTACTCACATCACATAAAATTTATCAGTTTCTGAAATTGTCTAGTCCTTGAGGCAATTCTATAAGACATTTGTACAAGAAGTTACTATAGAGATGTGTTGGAGGACCTAGCAAATGTCTAGAAATGAGGTCTCTCTAGGAAATGTTTATATCTTCTAATGTGACTCTACAGTTATTTATGGAAAAAGTTGTTCATTTCAATAGAATTCACTAGGACCCCCAGTTTTCTAATTCCACAGTATGTTCAGGACCATATTCCCCATGGAAATGGGAGTTGTACTAACATTGCAATTGACTAATTATAAATAACATTCATTTCAGATGAGCAAAACTGTAAATGCACAAGAGATTGTGCCCTTTAAAATATGAGCTGATCTCAACAAAATCCTTGGTGTCAGGTAAATAAAAATGTATGATGCAGCACCAGTATACTTCACTGTGTATGTAATTAGGAAATGCTAGATACATTTAGAGGGAAAGCATTAGAGTAAATTTTTGCGGGCCCAGGTTAATCTGGGGGATGGAATATGTTATCAAGCATCATAAACAAACTCACCAAGGCTTCACTCCCCCTGCCACATTCCAGCTTCTCTGGAGGTGGTTTTGGATTCTTTTATATAACAGTCAGGTGTAAAACCAGCCTGGTTCCATGGGATAGCTGTAAATTAAGATGTGAGTCAGACGTGCTCCACATTTAGGCATTTCCTCTGGAACCGCCCAGGTCCTGGACACAGGGGTGTCCAATTCATGAGCTAATGCTTGTTTCTCAATGACATACAGCCTGGAAGCATTTGGGAGGAGAAGTGGACCCTGCCCAGGAGAGGAAGAAAGAGAAGGCGAGGCTCCTGGCCTGATCCTCTATTCAGTCATATGTATGTCCTAACTGTGGACATGGTGATCTCAGGACAATCCAGTCACTAAAATATCCACAAACATGCAAACACATTTGCCAAAAAGCCCTGTGAATGGGAGAACCACCCTTCCTGGAGTAGTAGTCACACACATTTGCCTCCCCACCTTACCCCAATGCAGTTGTTTGCACTGACATGGTTTTATTGTCGTGCATTAGTTCTTTTCCTCCAAACAAAGGAAGGAACAAATGTCTCTACAATTCTTGGCAGTAAAGGCTAGGAGAAGCTTACTCACTTCTAGGAATGCTGGAAGTCAAGGGAGCACTTGGCAGCACCTCTTGGCATTCAGTGACACAACAGCCTTTCTCTATGTGACTGTGCATTTCACTTCCCAAATGAGAGATGGATGAGCAGTTTTGGCTTACATACAGCAGGCAGATGCCTCATTTTCACAAAATAGTTTTGTTCTGAGAATTAATCAGTGTTCTCCGATAAGATCACCCTGATATGAAACCCTTGCTTTATAAATGAACACAGGAAACTTTCCACAGATCTGCACCCTCTTTTGCTTTCTTTTAGATGAGTGCATAAATTAGCGCACTTGCTGAGATACATTCTGCAAGTCTGTCTTGGGCGGATTTAAGTTCAGCCACCACCTCTGAAGTTAATAGACTGCTATAAAATCATAGTAAAGATGAGTGATCTATGCACAGAGCCCAGAACGCATAAGTCTGGAAGAGGAGGCTGGAAGAAGTTATCACTCAGCTAGGGAACATCATATACTTTGAACAGAGGGGCCTTTCACACAGCCATATAACCCAGAATATCAAGTTAGAATAACCCACATCATTTGCTTTGAACTGAAATATCTGAGTCCACACTGCCATATATCCCAGTTTAAAGCAGATAATGTGGGATTTTATTCAGCTGTGTGTGGAAGAGGTCTGAGTTACTCTGATTTAGCTCTGGATTAAGAAAGTTAGATGATGCCACAGAGTTTTCCTGGCATTCTGGAGCAATCCCACAACTTCAGCATAGTGTGGACAGCAGGACTCCAATTCAGATTGTTCTGCTATCCACATGGGCTATTACAACCATCTTCTTTTCTTCAATCACATCAGCACAGAAAAAGAGGGTGGATTGGTCCTATGGCAGCACCATTAGCATTCCCATATGCCTACATACATAGCTTCATGAGAGCTCCTGGCTGTCCTGTGCTGATATCAGCCGAGGAGTCTGTGCAAATAGGAATTTGGTGGTGGGGTTGCCACCTCCTTCTTTTTTGTTATGAGGATGTTTCTACTGCTATGAACATAGAGTGCTCACAACAGCCAGGATCTTTCATGAGGCTCTGCAGTTATCTGGGTGCAAGGAGATGGGTGACATGGATGGTAAAGTGATTGTCTAGCAGGGCTCTGTGGCTCAGTGTGGTACATGTGTCTACTTCCTGGGCCAGATTAAACAGCTACTGAAGAGACCTATGTTCTACTTTTGAAGCGGCAAGAGAATAAAAAAGAGGCAGAGAGAAGGGAGAGAGCGATCCTTAAGAATATCAGTCTTAAGCTATTCCTTAAGAATATCATGCCTATCCAAGCCGCACATAAAAGTGGCAAAATGGGGGCACAATGCCCCAAGTGAAGAGGTAATTAGAAATTAGGATGAAGGGATGAGACATGAAAAAAGTTCAGATCACTAAAACACTCATTAAAGCTATCACTTCTGTTTTCTGTAAGACACATTTAGCTCTTTAAACACTGAGAGTGTTGCTGCATTTCCAACACCCCTTCTCAGTAATGTATACAGAAATCCACAAGATTGATTTTCTCTCATAGAGCTTGGTACTCATCTGATTTAGAAAGAACATTTGCAATTATGTCTTCTGTTCAGAAGTATTCTACTTCAACAAGCCCTTGTTCATATGCATTATTAATGAAACAATATGTTGCTTCAACATGATTAAACTGAGGACTAAACTTTGCATTAAAAAATCTTTATGCATCCTTGGTTGTCTTCAAATATCTCTGTTGGCCTAGGCCATTCCAAAACCCAATAGTAATATGTAGCCACCTGAATTGTTTAAATGCACCTGAACTAGAAACACATTTAGCTCAGTAGAGGAGTTTGTGGCTGACTTTTGCTTCTGTATAGTCCAATCAATTATTCCATCTCCATAAAGGAGTAGATATACATTTGTAAATTTCCAGTCCATGACATCGTTGGCTCAATCTGTATCTGGGTGCGTTCACTTCTGGTTTAGGTTGTATCTTTTGTATCATCTGAATCTGATAACTGTGGGGAGTTTTGTTGTTGTTTATTCATTCAGTTGCTTCTCACTCTTCGTGACCTCATGGACCACCCATGCCAGAGCTCCCTGTCGGCTGTGGCCACCCCCAGCTCCTTCAAGGTCAAGCCACTCACTTCAAGGATACCATCCATCCATCTTGTCCTTGGCGGCCCCTTTTCCTTTTTCCTTCCATTTCCCCCAGCATCATTGTCTTCTCTAAGCTTTCCTTTCTTCTCATGATGTGGCCAATACTTCATATTTGCCTCTAATATCCTTTCCTCCAATGAGCAGTCAGGCTTCATTTCCTGGAGTATGGACTGGTTGGATCTTCTGGTGGTCCAAGGCACTCTCAGAATTAGAGTTGTTGGTTTGTTGTAATGATAGTGTCCAATTCCTTCCTGATATGGGACTATTCTTTTCTCTGCATTCTAAAAACATTTCATTGGTTTTTCTGTCCAAAATGATAACAACTGCCGATGTATCTGGTCTTATGACTTTGTGTTTGTGCAGAAGCTTCCCAATGGCTTCTCAGTACAGACTCTTGTTTGGTAACACTGCCGTTTCTAGTAGTTGGTCTCCACAGACATGCTAACTAGATATGCCTTAGGCTTCATCTACGCTACCATATAATGCAGTTTGAAACTCAATTATATGGTCAGTTTAAACACATATAATGCATTTTAATGCAGTTAAACTGGATTATATGAGTCTACACTGGCCATATAATGCAAATTCAGACTGCATTATATGGCAGTATAGATGGGGCCTCAGTCAACCCAAGATGCTTTTGGTCAAGAAGATAACTTCCATCTTCATCTCTTTCCGTTTGTATTCTGAGATAATATAGGATGACTTTTAGGACCCCATCAGACAGAGGTTGTCCTCCACTTCTACACACTTAAAAGATGGAATCCCATGGATCCCATTAAATGACGCACAACCCGTTTCATGGGTTGCCCATGGGACTACGTCTCAGTAGTGTGAAGAAACAGATTGATTTTAAAGACAAGCTAGCATTGACTTTAGTCATCTCCTTGCACATAAAAATTATTAGAAACACATATTTTTCCATGGAATGGGTAATTGTGCCTTTGCCTGTTTTAAGCTTGTATTATGATGGTTCAGAATTCTGCATTCAGCTCAGAGCATTCTTAAGGATCCATCTCAAGCAGCATATTCTTTGTTTGGAATTATTACCACCTGGCAGATGGTACAAGGTGACAATGACAAGGACAAACAAATGGGGAAATAGCTTTTATCCGAGAGGTGTAACTATGACCCTATCTACACAGCTGGATAAAATCCACATTGAACTGGATTATGTGGCAGAGTGAACTCAAATAATACAGTTCAAAGCAGATATTGTGGATTATCAGCGTTGATATTTTGGGTTATTGTTTCGCATTGATGTGGCATTGGGGGTGTATGCAGTGGTGGTTGGAGTGTGGAGGGATGGCTGTGTTGTTTTTATATTGTGTATTGGGGAACACACTTAATTTCATTGTACAATGTACAATGACAATAAAGTTATTCTATTGCTCCATGTAGCAAAGAAATCTTTATATCTAAATGTTCAACATACATTTCCTTGCAGCTACAATATTCAAAAGCATTTATATCATATGATTTACAACTGATGCAAAAATCGAATCATAATTTTCTATCCTATATCTATTGTGTGCACATGCACCCCTGCGTGGATGTGTGTGAACATAACTCTCAACAGTATTCCTCCCCTTTCTTTATACTTTTTTCAGTCCCTAACCAAACATTTCAAATGAAATTATAATTGGTGCAAAGTAGAGAACTTTGGGAAATATATGTAAATGTGCCAAAAATTCCAGAATTGGTTCTCCAGAATGTTGTTTCTTTCTTTTACACCTTGCAGAATCCTGTTACATTTTAAGAATGCAGAACAAATTAGTTTCAAAATTTCTAATACATTTCTTCCCAGCCAGTTTTAATCAATAATTTTAAACTTGTGTTTTGTTTCCATTATATTTTAAGCATTGTTCTGTGTATTTTAATGTATGTTTTTTGTAGAAATATGTTTTAATATGTGTATTTTATGTAATGATTATGTGTTTTAGATATATTGTAATCTGCCTTGAGCCACAAGGAGAAGCGGACAAGAAGTAACATCATCATCATCTGTTGTCTGTGACCCTATTTTGTAGAAAACATACATTTTTAAATCTTTCAATGTGGTTTATGGATAATCAGATCATATCTATTAGTTGGTTCCTTAAAGCATGAGGCAAGGTGATACACACACACACACACACACACCCAGACCTTTTCATGGAGCAGGGAGAGGGCAGGCTTGTGTAATTGCATTATCCCAGCTGGACTTCATTTTTAGTAAGGCTTTTAGAAAGTGTGTTGAAATGTTTATACGTATCATTTAATAAAGTAAACTATGGAAAAACTGTTATAGCTCTTTGTTTTTTAGTGAAAGTTTCTGTAAATGGGCTTTCATTTGAGTTCTTATGCTTCGAAACTTTAATCTATTTTGGTTGCTGTGAGGTTTCTTCTACCTGCCATCAGCCAGAATTATTATGAGTGGTGACAAGCCCATTGGGCCCAGGACTAGAAAGTCCAGTTATTAACTGTAAAAAAAA